AAAACGCTTTCTAAAAATAATTTATTTTAACTCGATGCTTAAATATATGGGTTATTAAGTCGAAAAAAAAGTGACAACGCTATGGTAAGAAAAGAAGATAAAAAGACAAACAACAGTATACAAAACACAACATAGAAAACTATAGACAGAGGGTCGATCTCAGGTGCTCCCAAAGGATAAGCAAATCTTGCTCCACATGTAGCACCCGTCTTGTTGCTCATAAACCAGGTAATATTTCTAATTCGGTTGGTCATATTTGGGGAAAGGAGGACGGGGTTGTGGTTACGTTGGAACTTATCCGTCGTCATCTGTGAAACAGATATTTTATAACGGTCAACCAACTCGTAATGGAGTCCGTAACTTTTTTGACGGAATGGTTTCAACTGCATCACTTCGAAGTCTTTGTTCAATAGCTACCTTGTGAGCAGCAACTATCTATCAAGGAAACCATGACAGAAAACGCAAGCCCAGTATCAACAGGGAGATATATACTCCATATGCAGGCGCTGCTGAAATGTTGGAATGTTACAAGGAGTACAATAATACGAAATATACATATGTGTACATTGAATACTATATATTTACAATGAAAATATAAAACACTACACTTTTACAGAATTTTACATCATTTAAAAGGCATTATTGATTTGTTCTCATTATATGTGGATTTTAAAATATTTTCCCCTTAGTTATGTACATTATTTCAAGCAGAGATGTCCTACTAATACTAGAGCTGTGCAAAAACCAACAATCAGTAAAATGAATTACGATTTTGTTTTTGTATTAGTAAAATGATGTAATAGTTAATGCTCCACGAAACCTCTTTCGAAATTATTAACATCTATTTTATCAGCAATCAAAGCTGGGCTCCAAAGTTGTTGTGAAACTGCCTATTCTAGAGGTGGCGTGAATCAGATGTGGATACTAAAAAATTCCAAAGATCTTTTAGAGTACATACAATCTAAGACTCTCTCATCTTGCAATAGTATTAAAACATTTGACTTTTCTACACTTTACACAAGTATTCCCCATTCCAAACTAAAAGACAAATTGAAAGAGTTGGTATTACTTTGTTTTATTAAAAAGAATGGCAAACGTAGATACAAGTATCTTGTCTTGGGGAGGGATACATCCTACTTTGTAAAGAATCAGTCTGATTCAAACAAAAAATTCTCTGAAACTGACATTATCAAGATGCTTGATTTCTTGATTGACACATATTTGTTACGTTTGGAGGACGTGTTTTTCAACAGACTGTCGGAATTCCAATGGAAACCAATTGTGCCCCTCTTCTTGCCGACTTGTTTCTTTATTATTATGAGGCTGACTTCATACAGGAACTTCTTAGGAAGAAATATAAGAAGTTAGCAATATCCTTTAACTTTACGTTCCGCTATATAGATGATGTTCTCTCACTAAATAATACAAAATTTGGTGACTTTGTTGAACGAATCTATCCCATCGAACTAAAGATAAAGGATACTACAGATACAGTTAAGTCTGCCTCATATCTTGACTTACATCTAGAAATTGACAATGAGGGTCGGTTGAAAACAAAACTTCACGACAAAAGAGATGATTTCTTCTTCCCAATTGTGAATTTTCCATTTCTATGTCGCAACATTCCAGCAGCGCCTGCATACGGAGTATTTATCTCCCAATTAATACGATATTCCCGGGCTTGTATTTCCTATCATGATTTCCTTGATAGAGGATTGCTGCTCACAAGAAAGCTATTAAACCAAGAGTTCCAAATGGTGAAGTTGAAATCATCCCTTTGTAAATTTTACGGACGCCATCACGAGTTGGTTGACCGTTATGGAATAACCGTTTCACAGATTATATCGGATATGTTCCTTATGTCGTAACTACAATACCCTTCCCTTTTCACGAATGTGACCTACCGAATTAGACTATTTACCGGATTTGTAATAAAATAAGCAACACGACGGGTACCACATGTGGAGCAGGATCTGCTTACCCTTCTGACGCACCTGAGATCACCCCCATATTTTGTTGGGGTTCGTGTTGCTCAATTTTGGAAACTGTTTGAAGTAAGAATCGGTCTGCTCTACTTCAAACGTATTTTCGGATCTCAGAAAATGGTATGGTAAGACAAACGTGCTTATTCTGTTTAGGAAAACACTTTTTTTTTTCACTTTCTGATACCATAAGAAAAAACTGGTGCTGAAAATTTTAATTTAATTATTAATTGCTTAAATGCTTCAAGGACAACGAAGTTATTCTGCGATCTGTAAAGTAGTAGAATAATCTACGAAGTGCAAAAACAGGAAAATTATTACTTATTTTAACTCAAAAACGTTTGATTAATATTAATCTATAATTTGATAAGATATAATACAAAGTATAATTTTATTTGGCCAATGTTTTATTTCCTTTTGCTTGGGTCATACAACTCACTATGCATTCAAGTTCTTATATGTCCTTGGTTTTCATATTTTCTGGTTTGGACGTTCCTGATGAGGGTTAATCCAGCAAACAGCTTCGAAGACATTAAATTTATAAAGTGTTACTTTCATTTACTAGCACTGGATCGATACCGGTAATAAAATCGAATTGTTAACTGACAAGGGTATCACCAGCACAGTAATGTGTGTTTTGGTACTGATATTATCATAAAATGCCTTTAATAAAGTATCCGATGATAAATAAGAAATAATTAAGAGACTAAACTTTAAAGTTCCAACTCGTTCAAGCCAAGTTGTCATTCGACGGATTGGGCTTTTTCTTGTAGGTCCCTTCTTGTCACACAATTCCTCGCGTATTTAAGTACTCACACATCAATGGCTTTCAAATATTTTGTTGGATTGTTGAAGCGTTCCTAATGAGGGTTAATCAAGGGAAACATCATAACTGGTTATTTCCTTTACTAACACTGGGTCGATACCACTACTTGTTGACTGTTAAGCCACGAGGTATCATAAACCCATTGGTCGATGCCTCGATACTGACATGATTTATAACCTAACTGTCTTTAAATTTCCGTTTAAAAACATTAAACGTATTAATAAAATTAGGTGCAAACTGCCTCAGTCAAAATGAACCTTAAGTAAATTTGAATATTGCTTTCATGTTCTTTTTTGTTATTTAGCTCCGCATGTGTGCAATGTGCAGGTAATTATATATTATTAATGAAGGTAAATCCTAAATACCGCATTAAATAACAAAGTATTATTTTCATTAACAAATGTACAAATGTACACATATGTATACCTTGCTGAAAAAAGTAAAGTCTATGTCTTCAATTTGATACTATATAAAAAGCAACTTTCAAAAAGAATCATTCAAAATCTAAACTATGAAATAACAAAGCTTCTTATACGCAGCCATTATAACAAATATTCACATTTCGCAAATGTAAACAGTAGATATCATCAAAACATGCCCATTTTGTAAAAAAATCGTGATACGCTGCTTTCAGAGGTATAAATTAATATTTTTATTCATAACAGTTTAATTGAATGAATATCTTTTAAGAATTGTTAAGTTGTTAAAGTGAAATAAAAGATATTTGAGCGTGTTATATATTAAGAAAGGACGTAATAAAGTAACATTCTGGAGTAGTAGCCTTCAATGCTGTTATGAGAACATCATTTTGAAAATGGCGTTGCTTTTAAAACAAAAGTTACGTGAAATCATATATTAGAGAGCATGCTCAATATTTTAAAGTAACGTTTTCAGAAATCTTCTATCTGGTTAGCAAATAGTTTGCATATAATTTAGAATGAATTACAGGTTGCGTGAATATTTTCTTATGAAACCTACCGAAAGTTTGTCACATAGAAGTAATATTTGTAAGGTTATATAACTACCTGAAGATTATAACTTGACTAGCAACGAGAAATAGCGTAATATATTTGGTACTCTCACATGTGAGCAATGTCCAGTTTACTTATGCTGAAACTATTGAACTATCTGTATTCCAAGCAAATGTATGAAAATATCGTGCGAGTTAATCGGAAACACCAAGGAAGCACGTCTTTGTCCATATTTAGAGATTTTCGATGTGTAAAAGACTTGGCTAAGATGGTGTTTGTCAATGATGATTTTAACATTGATTATACATCTGAATGAATGTTTAAGATAGCGATGCCACTCTTGAAAGAAAACAATCAAGAAAGTCATTGTATGTGATACAAACTCTTGCAATGTGAATAAGTAACAAAATGTAAGCGTTAAAAATAGAAAAGAACAGTACTAACTACTCGAACAAAGGACATTAAAGTAATGTGTTCTTTAAGGAAGAAAAAAGGAACCTTTGGAAGAATCCAATCGTTTGGGTACAAATACATTACATTAATGGAAGATATGAGAGCACATGCATTCATTTCTCAGAGTCAAAGATTCAAACTAGAAGTACAACGGATGGGATAAAACTTTTAACTACTGGTTTCTAAAGTTGAGATTTGAGTTTCATTCAACAAATCTTTACATTGTATAGAACATACAGTTGCAACAATAGAGTGCAATTACCCATAGTCATGTTTAGGTCTTTTGTTCGAATAGAATTGGTGCTAAAAACTCAGAAAAAGCTTTTAAAGTAATCGATACTATATTAATGTCTTCTCCTTAAGGAAGAATCGAAACAAAGTGGAACAATGCTATATTAAAAGAAGTTGAAAACATGATATTGTTTCATTGAAAAAAAAATTGACTATATATTCGGAACAAGCATTAATTTATTTATAATTCATCAAGCCAGTGCACCGAATTAATACTTTTCTGATATGTTTGTGTAAAGTTTAGGCGGTTAGTTTATGTAGAGATAGACTTAGAAACGCAAAATAAATATGAAAACAAACTTTCATTTCAGTTCATTTTTTTTAGTTTTCATAAGCAATGGGCATTGCTTGTCTGGATTGCAAACGTCCCTAGGCATTAAATATAATGAAAACATTCCCACTACCATCGATATATCACAATGGAAAATAGGGGTTGTAAATGAAATATCTCTCATGAAATGTATCATGAGTTGTATGATGGCTGATTCTTGTTTTTGGTCAACGTTTAACAATGGAACGTGTGAGCTGCTGTCCATTTCAAGAACTGAGATTAACAACTTAACACTTATTGCCAACAATGGAGGACTCCCGACTTACCAAATGGTTAGAGGTATGTAAATTTTAAAATGTCGGTGAATTTAGATATGTTCGTAGAGTAGATAACACTAGTAAATGAATGTTAGTCTGAAACAGTCATTTCGATCTTAACATTATATAGAAAGTCCGAAAAAGAAATTGTTAAGTCAGGTTCAATGTTTCAATCAATTTTCACTTATCTACTTCTGGAAATTCAGTACTGTTTAGACAATTCGCTTGCAGCCAATTCAGAATTTTTCAGCAACTTTCTAAATATTTCAGTATGTTGTTGATGTTTACAGGTAAATAGCAACTACTGAATAGTCTGAACATAGACTGAACATATCTTAATTGACTGCAAGTTAATTGTCTGGACATGCAATGTCTGAAAATTGAATAAATTTACTACCATACTGTAAATAACTTAATAATTTGTTTTTTAGTCTTTTAAGAGCTGTTCAGATCAAAATAACCGTTTCAGATCAAAATTGGTTTACTAGTTGTTTTCCATTCGTTTGATGTGTTTGAGCTTTTGATTTTGCCATTAATGTTGATAAAGGACTTTCCGTTCTGAATTTTTCTTGGTTCGGTATTTTTGCTATTTTACCTTTCCCAGTGTAATATAGACTCACCAATAAACTCATTTATAATTCATATCAACAAAACTCTATTTCATTTAAATTAATTTATTACCACGGTACTACATAACTTAGACATGAACGGCACAACATATGTATAAATAATTTCAACAAAAGGGTATTTCACTAAAATTAATTCTGATTTAGTAGGACAAATAGAACACCAAAAATGTTGTTGATATTATTGTCTATTGGTTTTGGTATCTTTGGGGCGAATTTTATTCATAAAAATATATCATAGGACAATACAGAATCACAAGGGAAAAATAGTCAGCAAAACCTATTATGTAAAGTATCACAACAAACAATTCGACTGGGAAAAAACAAAAGATTGAGTAACACGAAAATCTGGGAACAAACGCTGGTTTAACAGTTTAAAAAATACTTTTTTATGATACGTAACATAACGAAGTTTAATTAATTTTAATATTTAAGATTATTAAAATCTTGTATTTATCATTTAAACAATCTTTTTTGTTGCTTTGTGATTAACGATGTTTTTTTGTAAAAGTTCTGATGTTAATTGTTCAAGGGTATAACTTCTGTACGGTGACTGTTTTATTTTTGTATTTAGGATTTTTTTTAATGTCAGACGAATATAATAGACATTAACAAGAAAAAATACAAACGTTTATGAAAGAAATGTCAAAGCATGAGTTTATCCCATATCTTTTATCTTTATTTCACGTCTTTACATCTTTAATATTTTTATTTTCAATTATATATGATATTATCATAAATCTCGTAAACGCCAATCTGATCAATATACAGATATTTTCCTCGATAATTGTAGATGGGGGTCTTAATTAAAATCCACAGATTTTTTTAATAATTTATTTAAATGTAGTTTATATCATGCTTTTTTCAAAAAATATGATAAAAAGTCACCTGGCCATTTTTCATGCTACAGGTTGTGCAAAATAGTCAGATTTTGTATAGCTTATGCTGAAAAACCCAATTTTGTGTGATAAAAAGAAAACTACACCATAGAATTATCAGATAGAATATGAGAAGATAGCTCTAATAATGTGCTTTCAGATAAGAAAAAGAAAAACTTGGGTCACCGGACTCGTTTTCTTGCTACATTATAAAATAGGTAAATTCACAACACATTCTATTAGAAAAGTTAGTTTACGTGAGTTATCTCCCCTTATGTGGCAAAGTTGAAAAAAAAAACTCAACCAAAAATATTCTGTTTTTTGTAAAATACAGCCGTAAAATATAATAAAACGCATACTTTTCTATATTAACATGAAAAGTCTTACACATGAACTACATAATACTCTCGAAATTTGCACATACATTAAAGATCTAGACTGATTGTTATATGCCTTTTCAAAATCCAAGATGGAGGAAGACACCCTAGCTACCTTAACTGACAAGGAATTGACGCAATATTGCTCTGGTTAATTTTGTTTTGAAGACTTTTTGGGAACGCTCTGCCTTTATCGTAATGATACGATTCATCTTAAATTTGGAGACGGAAATTTCATTTGTTGACGTAGTAACTGTCAGTACTTGAAGTAGAACAGAGAGTTGTCAATTATTTCAAAGCGGGAATTTGAGAGAGGACATGTACTTTAAATTAATTTTATTAACATAAGACCGGACTGTATACTATATCATATGTCCACGTGTATACCATATCCCAAGCTCTACATCGACGCGAGTTTTAATAAATTTTTGTTAGGGTAGTTAATCTGTATTTTACTCTGTGCATACAATATTTTATCAGTCTCCAATACGAATTTTGTGAAATATAGTTTTTGATTTAGTTGGAGTTTCTAATGTTTTTTTATAAATTTATTATACAAGGATAAGTTAAGATTTTGTAAATGGCAATAGGATGGAGCAAAGAAGCTTGTTGGTTGTCAATTGGGTTGATCATTCTAGAAGATGATTGCTCCTGCATTTATTATTATGGTGATCTGTTTTATCATTACTTTATCTCAGATCACAATACCAAATAAAAAAAAAAGATGCGTACTTTCCGATTTTTTTAGGATAACTCTAATGCTTTTAGTAACGCTTTTATACAAAATGTATAATTATAATTGTCAATAGGATGCAGTAAACAAGCTTGTCGAAAGTTGGATGGATGTTTCTTTCTAGCCGACGATAGCTCTTGCATTAAGTATTATGTTGATGGGTTAGAGTATGCATATGCAAGGACTATATGCAAACGGGATGGTGGAGAACTATTAAGAATCGACAGTCAGAGCAAACAGGATAGGATGGTTAGAATATTGAGTAAGTAAATGAAAAGTAAATATCTTATTGTTCTAAATTTAGTTTTGTTAAAGCACATTTTCAACACAAATCGTAAAAACTTGACATTGGTTTTGTGCAACATTTTGTTTTATATAAAAGCCAATTGAAACGAAAACATGTTATTCATGCATTGAAAATAATATGGAAATTGTTTTGGCAATTTGTTTCTTTGAACAATCAAATGCAATTAAAATAGAAAGTTATCTAATAATTATAATAGGTCAACTTTGTGTGTGTGTGTGTGTGTGTGTGTGTGTGTGTGTGTGTGTGTTAGAAAGAGAGAGAGAGAGAGAGAGAGGGAGGAAGGGCATACTATGATGACTACCGAAAATTACCCTTGTTTGGAATAATGGAGACATTTAACAAATGTATAATATGTCTTCGGAAATAATATATATAAGTGTTAAGATACTATGTGAGTACTATTATTAATTTGACATTGTAGTCAAGATGAAGAAATACTAGTTTGTTAATCTAAAGAGTAAAAAAGTTTACGCTAAAACCATTTGACTACTTTTGAACATCGACAAACTACTTGTGCCTTAATGTATTCCAACATTTTGCAATTGTTCTACCAGTGAACGTTTCCACAAAATTATAGAAAATTTGAGTTGATGCCCATTACGATATCTGTAAAAGTCTAATAAAAGAATCCTACAAGAGAAACGTTCTAAGACAAACAAATCATACTTATACTTATAAGAAAATGGTAAGTATTAAGTTTTATTGATAATCTAGTGCATTTTTTTCATTTTCTCTGGTGACCAGGAGAAAAACAAATTTGCATCGAGTCACCCAAAGAAGGACTCACAATTTCGATTTTTATGTGTTTGCGTTTTTTTGTAGCATATAACCTCCAACTAACGTTCGATATGACTGTCCAAGGAACAAAAGACGATGCAGGCAACTGGTTGTTTGACGATGGAATAAGAATGCCATATTTCAATTGGAACATAGATGATCGTCAACCAAACAATAGTGACGAGGAACGTTACATTTACATTAAATCCATTTATAATTGGCAGTGGCATGACATTGGCCCTGAAGCAAGACCTTTTCTCTGCGAAATACGTGCATGAATACGACTTGGTTAATTTTAAATTGTAGTGTGAAAAGAATAAACATTGTTTATACAGGCATAACTGCATTATGTATACATAGAAAAGGATTAGCTGACCCATACAATTTACTGATATGAGCAATAGATATTCAAATGTTTAATAGATATCATGTTAATATTTTTGTTCGATGTTCGATTGTACACGAGTGATTTTCTTTTTATGAACCTCTTATATGTTCTGAGATTTTATAAATGTTCATGCTCAATTACATTTGGCAATAAATATTGTGTTTGAGTCTTATCTGCTAATTGCGCATTATATGTAAGTAGTTCGGTAGTTTCAGATGTACATATTTGATTTATTTGATTCAAAAAATTCTCCGTAAGCATTCGTAAAAATTCAAACCAAACGTTTCGTTACAAAAGATAGATTCAATTTTTAATTTACATTCCCAAAATGTTTCTATCTGTTTTATTGATTTTTTTTTAAATAATTAAACAGTCAAATAATGTTCTATTTATGAAGGAATATTTCCATCTTTCATCATTAATTGAATTCTGCTGCATTCTCTCTCCTTTTTAAATCATTATCATTTAAAGATATTACAGTGCTATTACAATTTGACAAGAGGACAGTGTCATCCGAGTGATATGAAGTGCCAATTTTCTTAAGATGGTGAAATCATTAAAAATAAAAACCCGCTCAAGTTTACATTAATTTAAGTTCAAGTTACACGAATAAAACATGTGTTTCCTTTCCATTCTCTGGTATATAAAGATATAATTTGGTTGAAAAGCACTAGAAATTAACAATAAAAGGGGGCGTACTCCGTACGGGTGCCACATGTGGAGCAGGATCTGCTTACCCTTCCGGAGCACCTGAGATCACCCCTAGTTTTGGTGGGGTTCGTGTTGCTTAGTCTTTAGTCTTCTATGTTGTGTCATCTGTACTATTATTTGTCTGTTTGTCTTTTTATTTTTGGCCATGGCGTTGTCAGTTTGTTTTCGATCTATGAGTTTGACTTCCCCTATGGTATCTTTCGTCTCTCTTTTTATGCTAAAGTTCTAACCAAAAGTTATGTAGAGATTTCTCGAATTACCAGACATGCAGAAACAAAAAACCTGCCATTTCTTACTCAGGATGAGAGTAATGTCAAAATAGGATAGTTATGTCGGCGGATTTTTCGTCTGTGTTTTGAAATTCATCTAAATTACCTGATTCTTTTATAGACTGGCACTTAAATAAAAACCAAGATAACGTATTGGTTTAAGAGCTTTTCGTTAAATCTATTTTAAGAAAAAAACATATTTAACTTCCATTAATTGGTCGATTAAGGGTAAAATATCTTTGTAAAATAAATCAATCATCAATAATGAAATAATAACGAGTACGTGCACGATGTTATTATTAAAAGCTTTAATTGTTGTCGCTATAATTTGAACGTCATTCAAGCTTTGTTTTGGTAAAATGTGCTTTATTCTGGACAAACTTTTGGTAGGAGTTTATTGATTTGTTATACGATGTTAATACTTTTTATATAACAGCGAACTATGGGTCTAATAATTTTCAAATTGAATCAAAGTTGTAGTAAAAGTGTTTGGATACCTTTTATTTGTACCTGAAAAAAGGATGCTTCAAGATGTTATATCATAAGACATTAACATGGACATTTAGAAGCTCTAACAGCATTTTGCATTGAGAACATTTCTTTAACCCGGTCTCCGAAACAAATGCTTTCTGAATGACATTTTGAACATTCTTTGCTTGAATTGCGCCAGATGAAGATATAAAGAAATAAAATAACCGTATGGATTTTTGCCCTTCCAGAGCACCTGTAGATCACCCCATTTTTGGAGGGGTTCGTATTGCTTATCTTCAGTTGTCTATGTTGTGTTCTGTATACTTTGTTTTTGTCATGGGATTGTTAGTTCGTTTCCTACTTATAAGTTTGATCACCCCTTTGGTATGTTTCGCCTCGCGTTTATCAACGTTATATAAACAATACTACCGTCATTTGTTTATTTTGTCTCATGTGGTGTTTGACAAAGGTATTACGTGTAATAAATATTAACAAAGACAAGCATCGTTTGAAAACCAAGAAAAAACTCGATATATAAAAATGTCATCAGAAAGTATGTTTATGCCAGATGCATGCTTCGTCTACAATACACTCATCGTAGATACCAGGCTTAAAAATGTGTACGCCAGACGGGCGTTTAGCCTACAAAGACTCATCAGTAACTTTAGAATAAAAAAAGTTAGAAATGCTAAATAAATTTTGAAGTTGAAGAGCGTTGAGGACCCGAAATTCCAAATTTTGTTGCAAAACTCAGGTTAGGTAAACTTTTCCTGTGGTAAAAAATCCTAAGTATTTATTAATACTAACTAGTGTAAGGTTTTGAACAGCAGTCATATACAACTATATAACTATGTACTTGTAGCTATTCTTATCGATCAACTACTGCTGATTAATTGTAGACGTATAAACAATATCAACAAGAACAAAAATGATCAGATTCTGTACTAGTGTATTTTCTAAATCTCTATTATTTTTATAAAATATTTGACTATTATGAAAATGTATTATTGATTATGCTACTGTATCTTGTATTCATACACTAGACTAATGACTAGATCAAGGTATATCTTCAATCTAAGGTTAATAGCTGCACATGTATTGAATGTGTACGTTTAGATTTTAAAAACCTCATATAACTTAATAGAATTGTAAATGGTAAATTAGTGCCTAGACTATATTCACACAGTTTGCTAATAGACTATTTTCTTATTACCGTTTTTTTGACAATTTTATATTTTTTGAGCAACGTACAGAAGTAAAATCAAGCTTTCAAACGGTAACATTTTAGGGGGAAATTAAATGTTTTATGTTCTCTTTACACGACAAATCATCGGAAAACCGTAAACTTTCCTCCCAATATGCACCGATTATATATTTGATTTTACATCTTTTGGTTGCTCTTACTTGACGGGTACCAGGCTTTCCTACCACAGAGTATATTGTTTTCAAAGATGATCAATCAATACAGAAAAAGGAACTTGGGGTATATTTGCCCTTGGTTCAGTTAAACGTGTACACAAATTTTATTTGAAGGTTAACTGAGTATATGCCACAATTACATGAATTACGTTAAAAAGCAAATATTCAATTGTTCTGAGTCTGTTCTGCAAAAGATATAATAGTTTGTGCCATATGAGATGTAAAATCGGTATTTGCAAAATTGTATATTGCTTAAAAAGGCAAACTTGTATTGAAGACTGTTTTAGAAAGGACTAGGTCAGGTTAAACCCCTTTTGGCCCCAAAATATATCATTTTTACAAATTTGTTAAAAATATAAAATTAAGCTATTAATTGGAAAGTAGAATACTTGGGTTACATAAATATGTGCTGTTTTTGACAATACAATGCACATACATCAGGTACATGAATCATTAATGCATGCAAAATTAATGAAAATCTTCACAATATTAGCATGTGTGCTAATTGTTAGACGGATTTGTCTATAATGGAAGTGGCCGCACTTGTGTTCAGTCATAATATTTCAATATATGATTTATTTGATGACAATACATAACATCTATAAAGGTTGAGACTGACAACGAATGCGACCACTTACATTTTTGATAAAAACTATCTGAAAGTGATGTTTTATGGCATATTTGATTAGATTTTGCATATCTAAGCTTGAATTTGAGCATCTGTAATGACCAAATCAGTTCTAATCTTTTACATAAACTAATTGAATCGAATCGGAGTTCGGTATTGCATGGCTTATGTATTCACAATGAAATAATTTATTTTTTTACGAAACATGTCCTTAGTATTTATGAATGTTTTCATAACATGTTCCAACTGAGTATTTTGCTGAGATAGTGCCATAGTTCTCTTGAATTTTGGA